AGGCAGAGGGGTTTATGGTGTCATTGCAAGTCTTTGTGATTCTGGTCATTAGGTGGATGCAAATCATATGATTTTTAAATTGCCTAAAGTTGGCATGGAATAAGTGAGTCAGATGCTTCCCCCTTTGCAATGATCTTCCTGTCTGCAGATCAGTGGTGAGCACCAAGGGCTTCACTTGCTGCTCTGCTCCAGCAGCCCCAGGTCAACTGGAAACCATTTCCAAAGGCCGCATTCCTTTGATCAGTGACAAGTGAACTCAGGTATTTAAGGTAAATGTTACAGCTTTCTGGGAACTGTCACCTGAGTTGTCACATAAATGGTGTAAAATTATTGTCACGGAGCCAGTGTGGCTGACACAGGAATGGTTTCCACTTGTGTGGAGATACAAGGGAGGACCTCTCAGTGTTCCTGGATGCTGAGGAATTCAACCTCTCAGCCTTTCTGAGAAGAGGCTTTCCTGCCTGCTTTGTAAACTGTGAAAACAAAACACAGAGATGAAGAGAATTACCCGAGATCACACAGGATGCTGCTGCGCTCAAGATCAAAATCATCTTCCGTGTCCCAGTTTTCACTCCATCTATTAATACACCACGCTATTTTTAGCCCTCTAAGTAGCCACGTTGTTTGTAATTAGCTTCACTAATAACTGCTCTTCCATACGCTGCAGGACCCACCAGCGGAGCAGCGCGCTTTTCTGAGCCAAGCTAAATACAAGGGCGGCTAATGAAAGGCATCCGCATTTCCAGTTGGTTGCTGCTGAGCAGACACGTGTCCTTGTAGCTCTTGTGATCAGTCAGCTGCCTAAATACAGCTCCTGTACTTGGGTTAAGGATGAGGTGTTGCTACTCAGGGTTTCCGGGGCGTTCCCTTGCTGACCTTTCAAGAAAGTGAAGCAGCACGGTCTGGTCTCTCCCTCTCTCCGGCGTGTGCTGAGTCAAGGCTGCTGCTTTCGAAGAGAGGTACGCAGTACCTAGAGCAGGAAATTTAATTAATGGCTGCAGACGTCTTAGGTGACAGCTATATTTATACCCCAAGAGAATTACTAATTACTGTAGGGATTGGGAGGTGCACTTGCAGCAGCTGCATGGAGCTGAGTGACCAAACGAGATGCAAATCCAGCAGATGACTGCAGAGGAGATGATGAGTTGCAGTTGAGTTGAGCTGCAGTTCTCTTGAATTCCACCAGTGACTGCAATTTTGCTCCATTGAAAACACAATTGCTTCACCAGTACCAGCTCAAAGCTACCTAAGCAAACAGACACACTACTAGTTAGGAGGAACAGACTGTTTTCACACATTTTCTTTCAAGAATCCATCTCCAAACTTTCGAGCCCAAAATAAGGAACCAAAAAATGTTTTCCAGCATGCAGAAAATGAGCTGAATCACTGCATGCTTGCTATGTGACTTTTGCACCAGCTTTGTGTACAACAGCAGCTGTAGGGGCAGCCAAATGAGCTCCCCTTTCAGAAAACCCATGTCAGAGGGTTATTAACTCGAGAGCTGTGACCTCTTGTGACAGCGCGGCTCGGTTGCCTCCAGATCTGCAAGATCTGTGAGAACGTCACCATGTTTTGCATGTGAGGGTTTTTTTGCTCTCCCTCTTTGATATAAATATATCGAGATGGTTATCTTTAACTGTGCACACACACATGCAGGCCAAGCTGGTTCACTGAACACTGGCACAAGCCATGTGTGCTTAAACCAGAGGTCTTTATTCAGGCAAAGCCCCTGTTGATTTTTCCTTGCTTCTGTAAATTCCAGAGCCTTGGTCCAAAGCTAGCAGTGCACATTTGTTTGCCGTTGTACCGTAATACAGATGGGCAATCCTTGTAATACAGCTACATTTATTTACCGATAGAAATGTGCAGAACTGTGATAGGTTGCTATATAGGTTATTATTGATTTTGTTCTTTTTATTCCTGCAAAACCAGCTAGGCTAAATGCTGTATTAGAGCAAATAGACCTCTCTTATTTTTTTCTTCTTTTTTTTTTTTCACCAAAAACTGAACGGGCAAAATGGTCTTTTCATTTGTAAGAATCTCCTAATTTGGGTCTAATATTGTATCACACGTGCTCTAAAGCACCAACAGGGCTAGATTACATCTGTGGCCAGTTCACTTCCTACTCAGCACTTTATTTGCATCTTGGCAGGAAGATAGGACAGTTTCCCCCCCTCTTCCCTGCATATTAATTTCATATATAATGCATGTTTAGACATTTTAAAGGCAGTTTTGACCATACAGCATAACTGAAATAAAAAACACCAGACAAAGCCCCAAACCAAAATCAAAAAATGCTAGTAGGAAGGTCTCAGAGGAGAACCTAGGAAAACAGGAGGGTTCAGAGGCAAGTGGCCTTCCCGAGAATGCTTACTGGGTCCAGTTCTCACGTTCTTCAGATAAATTCACATGGGAAGTGGTGGACAGGAAGACCTGGAATGGGAAAGCCTGGAGCAGGAGGTTGCTTGTTCAGCCCAGTACAGGTGTATCAGGGAGGAGATGGATGACCTGCTGAGACAGAAGGATGCTGATGCTTCAGGAGCAAGTGGGTCTCACCTGTTATGGTGGTTATTAGGCTGAAAATAAAAATAAGTGTTCTAATTTTGGGGGAAGGTTTTTAATAAAAGGGACTAAAGTGTTGGTTTGTTTCTGGGCAGGATTATGTATTTGCCTGAGGTGGGTGCTTATTGAGTTCGTGTTCAAGGCAGGCCCTTCTCAATGCTATTAAAAAAAAAAAAGGGAAGAAAAATATGTATATGAAAATAAGTCTGAGGTTTCAGGAGAGACTAAGTTGGCCTGGTTTTATTTCTAAATGGCTGGCCCCATACAGAGCTTGTGCTCTGGTGAAGGAATCAGTTTTATTCTGAGGCCGGTAAAATGAAGTGCTGAGAATGACAGTGTGGGGATGTGCTTATGTGGCCCTTCTCACGTGGGCTGAGTGTGCCCATGCCACAGGGGCTGGTTCCACTGTCTTTTGCCTTTCAAACCGATCCCATCCCTGCTGTTGGTGCCTGGGTGCACAGGATTTTGCAGCACTGAAACACTGACTTTAACAAAATTTAACCCAGAGGAAACAAACACAGTCTAGCTTGTTCTTGATTGTGTCAGTTCCTGCACTTGTCTGACAAGGCCTTTGTCCCCAGGGCAGGCAGGGAAAACAGAGGTCACCCTGAGCAGTGCTGAGCTGCAGTGTGAAATGCTCAGCAGTGGGTCCCCAGTCTGAGAGGAGCGTGGACCTTTTTAGCAGGTCCAGAGGAGGCCATGGAGATGATCAGAGGGCTGGAGCATCTCACCTTTGAGGAAAGGCTGAGAGAGCTGAGGTTGTTCAGCCCAGAGAAGAGAAGGCTCTGGGGAGACCTTAGAACCACCTGAAGGGGCTATAAGAGTTCTGAAGGGGGACTTTTAATGAGGACATGGAGTGATAGGACAAGGGGCAGTAGCTTCATACTGAAAGAGGCTAGGTTTGGTTTGGACATGAGGAAGAATTTTTTTTTTAAATGAGGGTGGTGAGATGATGTAACAGTTTGTCCACAGAAGCTGTAGATACCCATGCCTGGAAGTGTTTAAGACCAGGTTAAATGAGGCTTTAAGCAACCTGGTCTACTGTGCCTGGAAACTGTCCCTGCCCGTGGCAGTTGATTTGGACAAGATGATCTTTAAGGTCAACTTCCAACCATTTTGTGATTCTATGAAATAGTAGCCATGACAAGAGCTCTTATTTTCCAGTCCCTTCCAGGTAGGAGGAGATTAAGGTGGCCATGTCAGGCTTCAGTCTTGGGTGTGGAGGTCTTGGGGTTTGGTGGATCTGTGTTGGTTCACACAGCCATGCCCTTGTGCCTCTCCCCACTTGCAGGCAAGCTGACAGAAGCATTTTGCCCACCCTGGGATCCCCTTGCCCAAAAAGCCTCACAGGTGGGCTGCAAGAACAGCAAATGGGCTCCTCTGTTCTGGCAGGAGGCTGCACGGCAGCCTGTGTGAAACACTTTAGTGGCTCTGAGATATCAGCACAGAGTGATTCATACATGGGGTTTTCTCTCACTTTCTGGCATGTGAGGTTGGGGACGTGTTTGGAATTTTCTCCCCTCACAGGCCCTGCTCCCCAGCTCCCCTCTGAAATCTCTGTGAGACACCCATACCCCCTTGGGAGACCCTTGGGGTATTTCCTCCACCTCCCCAGCAGCGATTTCTCTGTGAGAAAGTTCTCTGAGGCTTGGCCTCAGCTCCCGTGGCTCACCAGAGGCTGCAAGACTCAGGCAGGCAGCGAACACAAAGGTTGCATATGGCTGGGTGCAAATGACCCTGTGTGGTCATTCAGGGTTGATTTCCTCAAACAGACTTGAAAGGAAGTGTCTTTATCTTTTCCTGTTTTTATTTTCACCACTAAATTATTTGCAATTGTCCTTTAGTCAAAATAGGGGGAGGTGGGGAAGCATCCCCAGTGTTTAGGAATTATTTTCACCACTAAATTATTTGCAATTAGTTGTTGTCCTTTAGTCAAAATAGGGGGAGGTGGGGAAGCATCCCCAGTGTTTAGGATTGTTTTGCACCCAGTGCATGGCCGGGCTGGGGTTTCTCTGCTGTTGGGGATGTTAAAGACCCTGACCCCAAGCAACTCTTCCTGAGCACTGTGTCCTCCCTTGGATAATCACTCACTGCCAAGCAGGGAAGTGATGAGCACAAACCCCCAGGCTGACAGGTCTGTACGTTGGAGTCCCAGCCCCAAAAGCAGTGTCATGCACAGCCCCTGCGTGGGTGTTGGCTGAGGCATCCACCAGCAGGAAGGGTCACATTGTGATTGATTTAGTAGTACTTCACTCATATGGACCCTAATGTTTGTCTTGGAGCTCCTGGTGTGCAAGTTTCATCCAGTGACCCCCAAACTACCTTTCCCTCTGCCACTTTGGGTGCTGTCTTGCTGACCAGATATCATGCCCTACATTTTATTTCTCTGATAACATGTTCTGATAGGGTTTTTTTCTTCCTTCTTGTTTTCTTCACAGATTTATCTGGAAAGTATGACTGACAGGAGCAGCTTACTCACCATTAGATAAGTATTGCAGATGACTCATGCTGGAGTATTGATAGTTGTGCTGCTGAGATGGATATCCTGTTTTATAACAGCTGTAGTGTGATGCCAAGAGCCAGGAACCTTAATTTCACTATCCGTGCTTTTCTGTGAACGTGCATTGGGTCTCTGGCACCTTTGCTCCTTGGTTTGTTCATCTAAAGGGTTCACAGGGAGGGGAAGTTTTGCTTCCCTCAGGGGGTACAGGGTATGGGGCAGCTCATGTCACCTTGAAATGAAAGCTAGTGTTGAAAGGCTGCAGCTTTTATAGCTGTTCTCCACAACATGCAATATTTGTCTTTTTAATAGATGCCATTAGTGACTTTCTCTCGATACTTTGGGGTTTTTTTTTGTTTTGCTTGTGTTTTTCCAGAGCCATCGTACCCCTTCTTCAGCAGAACAAACCAGAAGGTGTAGAAACAGGTAAGGCAGCTGCTGTTGCAGCATGTTACTTTTGAATCATTAAGGGAAAAATACTGGCTGTAGTAAAGTGCAAAAAAAACCCTGTTGACTCAATGGCAAGTGAGAGTTGTACCCAATGTACTCAGCTCCATGAGAGGCTATGAAATTACTGCGTTCAGGGACAAATTTGCAGGCTACTTGAGAGCATGTGTCTGAACCTCTCTCTGCTTCCAAAACCACTGGCCTCAAAGCTCTGTGAGCAACAGATTTAAGAAGAGATGAGCAGTAGAAAGGAGCCTGCTCTTGGGGGAGATGCAGAAGGAGCTGAGCTGTGAAGATGGGGGAGATACGTACAGGATGGCAGGAGCTGCTGGGGAGGTGTTAACCCACATGGGATGGCAGGGGACTGAAGTGGCTTTGGCTTGGATGGGTGCAAAGGGCCGTACAGCAATGAGGGAAATTTGGAGTTAAAAGAAGAAATTTTTCAAGGGTGCATTGCAGCGAAGGCCAAGCTGACAGTGATGGCAGCACATGGGCTCTGCCTGATGTACCTGCCTGTGTGTGGGTGGTGTCACTGGGGATGGCTGGGACTCCACATGTACCACGCTCTTGGGCATCACCTGTGGTTCGCACCATCCTTAAACTGCCAAGGATGTTTGGTTTCCATGAAGGTCCTGGGCCATGACTGAGGATCTGTGCCTTGAGCAGTGTGTCCCTTTCATCAGCAGGAGCCTGGGACAGGGCCTTCCAGTGGGGCAGTGGAGGCATGTCAGGTGCTGCACCTGATTTCTCAGCACACATGAACCAGAGCCAGGAAGAAAAATCTGGCTTGAGAATCTGTGCTGTGTGCCAGCAGCGTGATTTGGATCTCAGCATTTACTGTAAGGGTGGTGAGACACTGGAACAGGTTACCCAGAGAAACTGTAGATGCTCCCTGTGGAACACTTCCATCCCTGGAAGTTTTCAAGGTTAGGCTGGGCAGAGCTCTAATCATCCTGATCTAGTGAGAGATGTCCCTGCCCATAGCAAGGGGGTTGGACTAGATCATCCTTGAAGGTCCCTTACAACCCAGCCCATTTGGTGGTTCTGCTACATTCATTGGAACTTGTGTTCTTCAGGCTGAAACAGACCTTTGCGGTTCTGTGATTTTGATACTTTGCTACATTCATTGGAACTTGTGTTCTTCAGGCTGAAACAGACCTTTGGAGTAAAGGACTGGGTCCTGATCATGTGTAAAATAAAAAAACCCCCCAAAACTTATTGCATCTGGCTAGCAGAAACCCCTGCATGATGTGTCCTCCCTTAGGAGTCTCAGTTAGGTCCCTGCCTTGTAGAGTAGAAAATGCCTTTAAGGCCTCCTCTGTTTAGGCTCTGCATACCCCAAAACTTATTGCATCTAGCTAGCAGAAACCCCTGCATGATGGCTTGTAACATAGTCTCAGTTAGGTCCCTGCCTTGTAGAGTAGAAAATGCCTTTAAGGCCTCCTCTGTTTAGGCTCTGCATCAAAGATGTTCACATGCTATGAAACTACCTCAAGACTAAAATTTTTTTGAGTGATAATCTGATGTTGCTCTTGGTAGAAAGGATGGGATTTTGGCATTTGGGGATTGTGTAGCATCAGTTAGTGAATGCAAGGGCCAGGGCATCAGGAATTTTATCAGCAGGTTCTTCCACTTTGGCCATGTCATCCCACACTGACATGTCTAAAAAAGCCCCACAATTCTGATGAATGCTCTTAACCATCACTTGGTGGAAATATTTTTGGGGTAGAGAAATGAGAACACTTGTCTCTGCCCCATTCACCTTGCATCACTGGGGTCAGGACGGCAGCTCAGAGGCAGGATCTGTGCTTCCCCCGTGGGTAGTCTCAGCTATACATATTCAAATCGAGCACCCAGGCATGTCACCTCAGTGCAGCACGACTGAGACAGGCACAGGGGCTTTCCAGCCCTTCAGGCCATTATTAGTAAGAGGGTTTGCGTGTGGTGTGTCTTTTGGTTCAAGCTGTGAACTGCCACTGGGCTCTAAAAACTGCTGGTGAGCCTTGGTAATAGTATTGCAAAAAGTTTCCGAGAAGCATAATAACTTCCCTAAATATATATATTTTTAATGACTAAAGATGTTTGGGCATTTGTTCATGCTGAAAGTTTGCTGACCCCAGTAGAGGGGATTTGTACTCTAGCCATTATTTGGGAAGCTCAGGCAGGTAGTGGATAAGGATAAGGAAGTTGTTGTTGCGGTTCTGTTTCTCACTGTCAGTTTGGGATGGTGGATTTGGGGGCATGTTTGAGGGTTTGGTGAGTTGGTAGAACAGTTTATAGCAATGTGAATGGCCTGTATAGTAACTTCAAGATCATGCCAGCTAAGCAACTAGATCAGGGATTACAGATCCCAGGGCACCTGAAGTCCAAATAGGTTTTTAAATCACACAGGTCATTTTAAAAGAGATAATTAAGTTTCTGAGTTCCTCAGTAGTGCCTACAAATGTTCCTACAAATGGCTCATGAAGCACTTGCAGTCTATAACTTCTGCCGGAGGAAAATGTGCTATTAGGTGGAAATTAGCTGCCCATGTGGCATTTTCTGTCTTGGAGTCTCAGGGAGTTTTACTGAGATGTGTTAATACAGCTGTGCTGAAGGTACTGCTCATCTGCACGCTCTGATAACCATCCTCATGTGAAATGAATCCCTGTGGAGCTGTTTGAGTTCTTGCTGCTCCTAGTTCCCAACTTACCTGGTTGCCAAAAGCTGCTACCCACCGAGGCAGGGCTGAGGATGAGCTAATGTGCATCTGCACCTTATCCCTTGTTCTCTATGAGCACAAACCCATCTTGGCTTACTGGGAGAACTGGAGCACCAGGTGGGAACCTGAAATGGAGAATATCTATTCTGCCTCCCCTTACTGGGGCAGTGCGGGGATTAAGGGCTGGAAGTGCACTGAGGTGGAGGCAGTGACATGTCAGGTACTGAAGTAGGCTTTGAGAGCAGTTTGCCCTCTGGAAGTGTCTGCTTTTTTGCACTTGACTGGTTGGCAAGGTGGGAGTCATCACCCCCCCATGCAGGTCAGCAGTGCAGCTTTTGGTTTATGCTGCAGCCAGGGGCAATGTAGTAAACATTGTCCATAGGGTTTAAGGTGTGATGGAGCCCTGATGAATGGGACAAATTGCACCTTCATCCTCCTTAGCTGTGTGGCAGATTCTTCATCACCTGCAAAAACACCCTGTGCCGACTTGTTTGGATGCAGGTGCCAAGGCTGCAAACACCTTTCTTTGATGAGATGTGGCGTGCCCCAGCCAGCTCACTCTGGCTAGATACAATATTTCAGATGGCTCTAGGGTGAGTGAGATGAGTCCTACACCTGCTGTAGCAGTGCTCATGCCCCGGGCTGTCTGGGGGGAGAGGGGGAGTGTTAAAAGCAAGTTTAGTGGGTCCTTCTTGCAGCAAGTCTGACTTCCCATCCTTTTCTGAAGAAGGTGGTGGTCAGATCAAGGCCAGCTTGGAGAAGGGAAAACTCCTGTAGGTCACTGCAATTTGGCAGTGGCGGAGTCACTCACAGTCTGTGCACCCACTGCATCTGTGACCTGTGGATGTGATGGGAAGGCAAAGTAGGACTTGAGGGCATGGCACAAGAGTAGTGTGGAATTTTTCAGGAATAGTGTTGTTTGAGGCAGTACAGGGACACTAAATACTGTGCTTTTCCTCAAAGATTCAATTAGTTTTGTGGCAAAGGTTGCTTTCTGTCTTGGCTCAAGGATTTCATAATTTTAACATTTGCCTTCTGGAGGTCCACAGGCCACGTGAGCATGGGCTGATGGGCACTTGGTGAGCATTTTTACACTGTTCCACAGGGATGGTTGTGCCATTGAGCTCTGGCTGTGTCTTTTTCCAGCTCCCAGCAGCTTCTCCCCTTTAGTTGATCCCAGGTGCAGGTGTATGGGGCTGGGTCTACCATCTGCACTGGTTATGGTGACAGCAGATTTCCCCCCTGCAAAGGGGGTTCTCCCTGGCTGCTGCAAAGCTTGAGCAGGGAGCTGCTCCAGCTGACCCTACTACTGCAGCAGATCTACAGGTGTACTGTGAACAAGGAGGAGGGGAAGCACCTGGAGACACATCTGCATTGGACCATGTCACACAGCTGTCCTAAGTGGGCAGCAAGCCCAGTCCGTCAGTCTGCACAGTGCCGGTGTCCTGCCCGTCTGGCCTCACCAGCCTGGCTGCCTGTTCCAGGCACTGGCAGCCTGTGCAAGAGACTGGTGCTTGTTTGGTGTTGTGTCTTAAAGTCTTCACTGCTACCAGATCACTACCCTGAACCTCCCCCATCTTCATTTTTCTCTTTGCGTTTGGATTTGCAGCCTCAACTGAGTGAAAACACTCAAGCTAAACCCTGTGCCCCAACGGCTGCTCATCTGAAAGTGCGGAGCCAGCTCGCAGCAGCTGCTAAAATAGCAGAACTGAAGTGGGGAATGAAAAGTGAGATGGTGATTAAGACCCAATTTCCTGTCGTGGCCCCGCAGTGTTCCTGCCTGCAGTGGAGACATTGGCAGCAGTGGTGTGAAATGTCTCAGCCTTCTGCCTTGGGCTGGCTGAGCACTCGCACTGCCCTGTGCTGCTCGCTCGTCTCAGTGCTTTTGGAGTTTGGTTTGGCTGAGCTCAAGGGGACGATGAGGATCCTTTTTAGGAAGAGGGGAAGGGAGGGAGTCCTTCAGACTGGTCCTGGCTGGGATGGAGTTGGAAGCAGCCGTGGTGAGACCTAGGCCAGCGCTGAAGCAGGCTGATATTAGTTGCTTTGTGTTACCTGGAAGACATGAAAGAGTGCACTGGATTTGGGAACACTGGTAGCATTGGTCCTCTGGATCATTTTTTCCTATCTCTGCTAGTAATTTTTCTCGGACCCACCATTTAGACTGGGAGAGGAGAAAATGCAAGAAAGAGAAGTTGCTGCTAAAGGGATGGTGAAGCTCCCAAGCTGATGGTGTTTGTTCCAAGGGCATGTGGATTGTTCACCTGTCCTACTGCTTGTA